TGGCATGGAATGGAAGGGAGTGGAATGTAACACCAGATACTTGTCCCAGGCTCAGCTTTCTCTCAGCTTGGCATGGGCTGAAGGCCATCTCTGTTTGAAAATCTCCACGGCTGGAGAAAAAGGATTTCGGATGAGTAATCAGTGGACTCTAGGCATCGTGGGCACCACAGCGCTGCTGGAGCTGGGGCATTCTTCTGGGGTGGAGGGGAGCTAAGGGGAGGGAGGAGGAGAAGTGAGAAAAGGAAGCACATGAAAATTCAGTGGGGAAGGAGGGGAGGAGGAGGGCACAGAAAGAAGAAGACTCCTCCTCTCTGGTCAGCACCAGGGTACTGCCCACATGCCTACTGCCTACATGCCAGCCCTTTCCCTTCTATCTTCTGATGAAGCCTCACAACAGCCCTACTGGGTGGGCCTGAGGATCATTCCATCTTACAGTCCAGGAAACAGCCTTGGGAAGATGAGGAGAGTGGCCTAAGGGAACCACACTGGATGTAGCACAGGCAGAACTCTAACGTCAGCACTTAATTAATTACATAGTGCCAAGCAGGGCCTCCAATTGGTTCTTCCCGGGGCTGGCATGTCAGATGAAGCGAAACTGAGGGGACCAGAATTTGTAAGGTGTGGATGTTCTGGAACAATGGCCAAATGGGAAGCATTTCAGGTGGATGCCCTGCTGGGCACTTGGCTCCTGCCCCGCAAAAGACAAGGGTAGCATTAATAGCTTGTAGCTTGACCTTCATTCAGCTGAGCAAGTGCACTTCCGTCCCAGGTATACTGATTCAGCTTCTACTGTTTCTCAAGATCACCAGGGAATTCTTATGTATTCCCAGCAGGGGATTCTCAGCAGGGGGGAGGTCAGATTTGAGTAGTCCGGATTAACAACCAAATCTCTTACCGGCAGCATAGGAAACAATCAGTGAGGCCCCACCTAACTACCACTTTGAATGGCTTTCACTCCTAGAAGTCCTGGCAATAATCCAATCTCTCACACTACACAACAACAACAACAACTCACTGACTGCCATGGACTCCTTGCTGACCCATAGTGACTCTATAGGACAGGGCAGAACTGCCTCTGTGAGTTTCGGAGGCTGTAACTGTTTATAGGAACAGAAGACCTCGCCTCTTTCTCCTGAGGACTGGCTGGTGGTTTTGAACTGTCAACCTCACAGATCACAGCCTAAGGCATAACCACTATGCCATCAGGGCTTCTATCGCCCACATTAGGTTCCTGAAATGTTCACTACAACTCTTTCAAGTCTTCCATTCCAGGGTTTTGACCTGCAAAATTGACCTATTTCCCTTATTTTTCTGGTACATTCACATGTTATAATTCAAGTCTATTCAGATTTAGTTATGTTGGCCATGACAACTGGTTTAACCTGGTTCAAAGCCCTGGTATCAAGTGGGAAAGTATAACAACATTTAAATATATATATATTTATGTGTATGTATGTGTGTATATATATATATATACACATACTACAATGTGATGATCATTGTGTTAAACACACACAAATCTTAGAAAACATCAAGAAAGTGAAAAGGACAACTTGAGATGGGCAAAGTGATTTGCAAATCATATACATATATGACAAGGAACTTATATCCAGAATATATGAACCAAATCAAACTCACTGTCATTGGGTTGATGGTGACCCACAGTAACTCCCAGGATAGGGTAGAACCAGGGTTTCTAAGACTGTAAATCTTTTTTTTTTTTTTAACTGTAAATCTTATAGGAGTAGAAAGCCTCCTCTTTCTCATGAAGAGCAGCTACTTTTTTCAAACTGCGGACCTTGCAGTTCAAAGCCCAACACACAACCAACCACAACACAGGGCTCCTTAGAATATATAAAATGCCAAAAAATCCAAAATCACTCCCATCAAGTCAATGTCAACTGATAGCAATCCTGTAGGGCAGGGCAGAACTGCCCCTGTGAGTTTCTGAGATGGTAACTCTACTGGAGTAGAAAGTCCACAGAGCTGCAGGTGGTTTCAAACTGCTCACCTTGTAGTTTTTAGTCCACCACAAAACCACTTGTACTACCAGGGCTCCTAAAATATATAAAGAACTCTTAAGAGGAAATGGAATGTGCACATGAAAAGCTGTTCAATGTCATTAGTCATTAGGGAAATGCAAATTAGAACCACAGGCGATACCACTTCACACCCACTGAGGTGACTACAACATAAAAAGACAGTTAAGTGCTGGCAGACCCTCAGACACTGCTGGCCAGAATGCAAAAATATTGTAGTCACAAAGTGGCAACTAGTTTGGCAGTTCCTCAAAATGTGAAACACAGAATTACTAACGGAGCCAACAAATTCACTCTTAAGTACATACTGGAAAAATAGAGAAACATATGCCCGTGCAAAAACATCTGTTTATAGCAGCCATTACAGTAAGATCCCCAAACTAGAAACAATCCAAATGTCCATTAACTGATGAAAAAAAGAAAAAACGACCCAAACCAAACTCACTACCTTCGAATCAATGCTGACTCATGGAGCCCCTATAGGACAAGGTAGAACTGCCCCTGTAGGTCTCTAAGACTGCAGCTCCCTATGGGAGGAGAAAGCTTCATCTTTCCCTGCCAGAGCAACGGGTGGTTTCAAACTGCTAGCTTCCTGGTTAGCAGCCCAACCTACACCACTATGCCACCAGGGATCCTCAAAGAAATGAGATAAAGAGTGGAATATTCCTACATTGGAACCGCGTTACTCCCAATAAAAAAGAATGTTGGGATCTATAAGACACAGTATGGCAGGAGAAAGGTGCTTGCAAACTCTGGCTCCATTTCCCAGCTAACCACAATACTCAGTTGGCTGACAAGGACCAGCGATGGAATGGAGGATAGCCTTACTGAATGGTGTCAGGCTCCCCAAGCTCACCCTCACCTCAGGTTGGTGGCTTGGGCCTGGCTGTGACAGAAGATGTGTTTGGCCCCAGAGCTCACCCTTATCTGCCATCTCTCTGCTGGCCCAGAGGATGCACCCATGTGGCGCCAGGCAGAAGACAAAACGCTGCAACTGCAAGGCCAGATGCTAATGGGAGGAATCATCTGCCTGCAAGAATCTCTTAGGAAATGAATTCAAAATAGGCTGGGAATGTTGCTAGGGGGTGTCCTGGGGCACTTCAAAGCTGGTGAGCAGAGACAGGATAGAAACCCCTTTCCTAGATTCGGCTCTGGTCCCTCCAGCATCCTCAACGGGTTCTTTACACAGCACCTAGGTCAGCCCCACTCACAGAGCCTTGCAAACTGGATGCTGGAGGGTCCCAAAACCCAGGGGTTCCCCATCCCTTCTCCGCAGCCACATTTCTGTATTTCCCAGAGTCCCCGTATAACAATGACAATATGGAAGTACTCCTTTATTTTTGTAGCCTCTTATTTTGACTAATTTCTTTTTCAAAAGGATATCACTCTTTCAAATTAGTGGCCTTAAGAAGAAAAAGGAAGGGGCTGGGTTTTTTTGTTTTTTTAAGAAACCATCTCCAAAGACAGAACCAAATGCAATGCATGGACCTTGTTCAGATTCTGAAAGGGACAAACCAATTGGTCATCAGTGGGACAAAACGGATTGAGTATTAGGTGATAGAGAAATTTGGTTAGGGACAGCAGGTGCTTGTGCACCTCCCATAAAACTGGCAGCCGGAACCGCCTGTCTCACCAGAGGACGCAGGGAAAGTGCACAGGGGCTCACAATAGAGGGCACTTGTTCATGACTGTGTGAGCTGGGGCAAACTCATCTCTCTGTGCCTGTTGTGGCTTTTTGTTTGTTCATCTATAAAACAGGGGCAAAAATAAGAACCCACCTTAAGGGGTTGAGATGAAGATTAACTGAGTTAATATTTGTAGAGCATTTAGGACCATGCCTGGCATACTGATATGTATTTTGTTCAGGACTCTTCCAGATCTTGGGGAGGTGAACGATTATATTCTGTGGATACACGGAAAAGCCTTTTCATATGGAAAATCCAAGTGGTGGGACAGCAGCCCAACCCAGTTCAGGAGGCCACAGTGTTACAGCTCAATGGAGTTTGGCAAATACAGGCCGGGGCCAGGCAGGCAGGCACAGATGACACACACATGGCTTCTAAAGCCAGTCTGGGTTCTAATCATCCCTCTACCACCATGAGCTAGCTGTTTGACTCTGGGCAAGTCACACCAAACCTCTGTGCTTCAGTGGATCCTTTTAAGAACCGAGCCAGGGGTCCTCAAACTACTGCCCAAGGGCCACATGCGGCCCACAGAGGACATTTAACCGGCCCGCTGGGTGTTTTTGTCCTGTTTTGTTTTTTTACTTCAAAATAAGATATGTGCAGTGTGCATAGGAATTTGTTCATAGTGTTTTCTTAAACTAGAGTCTGGCCCTCCAACAGGTCTGGGGGACAGTGAACTGGCCCTCTGTTTAAAAAGTTTGAGGACCCCTGACCGAGGCTGTAGCAGCAGCTTCACACTCAAGCTCTGCAAAGCCAGTGCTGCCAGAGTAGCGTTTTGTTAACTAGCTCTGGTTTTTGCCTCACTCAGTTTCAATCCTGCCTGTGTTCCATGTCATCAGAAATGGTACTTTTAACAACCTCCCCTCTCTGATAATCAGAAGAGAAAGGAGAGTTACCTTTGGCTGGGCACCCATACCGAGGTGCTGTAAAGACTGGACTGCTAACCCCACGTCTGCTCCTAGGGAGTAAGATGAGGCTTTCTGCTCCCACAAAAATGTACAACCTCACACCCTATATAGTACATAGGGTGGCTCTGAGACAGAATCGACTGATGACAGTGGGTTTGCTTTGGGGGCTACACTGAGACCCAAGAGGACCCGTTCCACGGAGCGCTGGGCTGTATGGCTCTCCGAAGCTGCTGCAAGGGCAGCCTTGCTCCTCCTCGTCCTCCCCAAGCCGGAGCCCCGAGCTGCAGGATCGGTGCTTTTCCCCAATTGCACCGTGGCCGGGTCCCAAGTCCACCTCACTCTGGAGAGCCTGCAAGCAACTTACTTACCTAAAAGCTTGAGATCCTTGCCCGACCTGGCGCAGCAGTTCCACAAGTCACTTCCCTCGCAAAGCTTGGCCAGGGCTCCCTGACGCCGCGGTCTCGTCCAACTTCTCCCCTGCAGCTAGTCGGCAATTGGCCCACAGTGGCAGGAGGGTCTGCAAAGGCGGATCCGTTCCTTAGGGCCCCAAGAGGGATAAGGAAGGGCACGCTAAGTCTCGGCCAGGGCCACGAAGGTGTCAAGACATTGCCAAGAATTTCAAGTAAAAGTGGGAGTTGTAAGGATGGGGTGTTGGGGTGCTCGGCGCGGCAGGGCGCTTAGGAGGCGGCGAGGCAGAGGCGCGGGGAGCCCGACGCGCGCCCGGGGCTCCTGGGCGCAGCGCACCACCTCTCCGAGGGCGCACAAAGAGGCGCTTTCAGCCGGGCTGCGGTCCCGGGCGGAAGCGAAGGAGAGGAGTCGGCTGGCGCCCTGCTCCTGCCATCCTCCCCTTCCCAATTCCCTGGCTGGGGTGCCAGTTACGGGAAGGCACAGGTGGGGTGACGGTGAGGGTGGGGGTTATGTCGCAGACTCGACCTGGGACGCCAGAGGGCGCACCCGGGGTCGCGCTCATCCCCCTAATTGCCCACTGACGTTGTCTCCCCTCCGATCTCCAGGGAGCGCGGCTCCAGGGAGCACAAAAGGCCTTTGTGAAGGAAACCGAATCGTCATCTTGCCCTCGCGGCATTCTCGCTATGAAGTGACTGGGAATCTAAATCTTGTCCAAGTCCCCAGCCTCAGCCCGAAGCCCAGGGGCTGAGAGGCCCGCTAACCCCCAGGAGTGGGCTCTCATCTGTCCCCCTCCTGCAGTCCCCTCTGCCCCAGCACTTTCAAGACAGGGAAAGGGGTGCGGAGCCGGGGAATGGCTAGGGCACAGGTGGAAAACAGGCTCTGATAAATACAGGTCACAACTGTTTACTTTTGGTAACCCCCCACCTCCGCCTCCCAGGTCTCTGGACATTCCAACACCTTGTAATCCACCCTCGGTGGGGTCTCCAGGAACTAGGAATAGGTACACTTGTCACCTGACACAGTCTAGCAGGATGAACCCTGAGCTTAAACAATCACAGCTTTTGAATTATTCACTCCTTCCTAGGCGCTATCTTTAAGCGGGTAATTAAATCCACAGCTCGGCGGATGCACACAGGGGACATGGGTGTCATGATAGCAACAAAAAAGGAAAAACCACCCAAAGCTCAGAAAGACCTGCACCTGAAGGCCTCTTGTGATGACTTCTGGGTAGTGGGGTTAGCAGTTACTTTCTTTTTTAATTAATCATTTTATTGGGGGTTTGTACAGCTCTTATCACAATCCATCCATTGCATCAAACACTTTTAAACATATGTTGCCATCATCATTTTCAAAACATTTTCTTTCTACTTGAGCCCTTGGTGTCAGCTCATTTTCCCCCTCCCTCACAAACTCTTGATCATTTTTTTCCCCCAGGGGAGAGCGCGAACAGTCCCCCACTACCACAAATGATGCAGTAGTTTCCCACATTTGGGGAAATCACAGGGGTCAGCACATCGGGAGTGCAATGGATAAGCCTCGCCCTAGGAAAACCACCTTCGTGATCATGGTATCTCCCCTGCCAGGTAAATATAATCTTGATAATTTACAATTTTTTTTTCATGTCTTACACTGACCGCTGTCTCCCTTCACCCACTTTTCTGTTGTTTGTCCCCCTGGGAGGGGGTTATATGTAGATCCTTGTGATCGGTTTCCCATTTCTCCCCCACCTTCCCCTACCCCTCCTGAACAGTTACTTTCTTCAGGTTCCTATCATTTAGCAGTTTTCTCCCAAAGAAAGGCACAAACCCACCCCACCCCATCCCACACTCGAGATATGAAGGGGAAAAAAACAACAAAGACCTAGAACTGCTGTATTGACTGCAGATGCGGGAATGGGACCCCACAAAGCAGGTGTGTTAGGTCCCTAAGGGGGGGACATTATCTCAAGGCCTGTTTCCAGCTGAGAATGTCTCACCTTTTCCTCTTGCAGCTACACCATCGCATTCAGGTCCAGACGCCACCAACATCCGATCTGTAAATAATTTTGTATTCACCAGACCAGACTGTTGTAATTTTCCAGCCTGCGGCTTGCCACACGCCCTGTGGATTCCACCGAAAACTCACATGTGTTTGAGGCTAGACCAGGGGATATTTGCCAAGGACCTAACAAAGGCTCCAAGGTCTCAGGGCCATGCTCTGGCACAGCCAGAGTGCTGGTGAGAAACATGAAGTGTGAGAACCTCTGTTGTCTCAGTCCACCTCCCCCCCCCCCAACAAATCCACAGTCAGTCTCCCCTTCTGAGTATTTTTTTATTAGGAAATTACAAACCATTGGGGATTCTTTAACCACATTTGCATTACACCACTTCAGTAAAAGGCAAAACAATATTTATATGAGGGGGCTTCAAAAGAAACTCCTTGGGGAGAAAAAAATGTTCATAGAAAAATTCTATTCTTCTTTGCATTTTAACCAACCAGAAACCATTTTTAGTGGTTTAAATGTCCATGGGGAAAAATTAGTTTTTAAGCTGTCAATAGGAAAGAAAAAGCGGGGGGCTAGTGATAGGGAAGTACTTCAAAATAGTTCTGTTCCCCCCAAAACAATGACTTGGGTCAGCCGAAAAGGAAATGAACAAAACCAAAACTCTTGGAGATCAAACTCCAGGGAAGGAGGCAGGCCATGAGGAGGGGGTCTGTGGGTGGGCATGGCAGCCTGGGTCATGAAGGCAGGCCCTTCCGATGTCTGTGACAAACCCTTGGAGGAGACTGCCTGTTTCCAGGGGCACGGACTTGCATAATCCGCCGTCAGTGCAGGACAGAGGCTCATTCTGAGCAGCTCAGCCTCCAGACACTCACTCAGCCCTAAGGGCAAGCCAGCTGGCCTCCGCTGTGTCGGTCTGCTAGGGACCCTGCTGGGAGGAATTGCCACCGACCCGGCATCCTCGTCACCCTCGCACTGTTCTCTGTGTGTGTCCTCCAAAGCGGTCCACTCAGACGGGCACCTTGGCCTCTGTGAAGGGAAGCCCAAGTAGCTGGGCTTCTCACTGGCCCTCCAAATAAACTCTGTGGTCTTCGTCGGGGATGGGAGCCAACACCAACAACAGCAACCTTGTCGTCCTTTCAAGAAGGGGGAGGGCTGTTAAGGTCGGGGGGGAGGAAAGTGGCTAGGCTGTTTGTTGGGTCAAGGCCATAGAGAAAGGCCCTGTTGTTCCAACCCTTGCTACCCCCCCCCCCCTTGTCCCTGCCCCACCCCCCCTCTGGCTGAGAGGATTGTGAAGGCAGGGCGCAGGGCAGACATAAAGGGCTGTCCAGCTGAGCGGATCACAGATAACTGCGCTACTATGACGGCAGGTGGACGGTCCTACTGTCTTCCAGTCGCCTCCCCTCAGCACAGGCGCCGGCATGCCCTCTTGCGCTGGCCCTCCTTCCAGCAGCTGAAGGCCTCCGACCTGGAAATTCAAGTTCCTAAGGGGAGAGTCAGTACCAAAGTAGAAAGTGATCGTGATTTGCATATTTAGCATTCAAGACCTGAAAAGCATAAGGAGTGGCTTAGAATCATACTCACTGACAGGAAAGAAAGAAAACAAACAAACAAACAAACAGAACACAGTCCTTTGCTGTTTAGTTAATTTTGACTCATAGCAACCCTGCAGGACAGAGTCGAACTACCCCTGTGGGTTTCCAAAGCTGTAAGTCTTTTTAGAAGCAGTTTCATCTTCCTCCCATTAGACCTTCCAGTTCCAGAAGGCCCTGTGGTTTATAATGTTGTTGTTTGGTGCAGTTGGGTCAGTCCCAACTCAGAGTGACACTGAGCAACAGAACAAAGGACCCCTGGTCTTGCGCCATCCTCATAAGGCCAGTTCGGGCCCACTGTTGCAGCCACCGTATCAATCCCTTTCATGGAGAGTCCTCCTCACTTTCAGTGACTTGGCAAAGCATGTTCAACAGAGGCCAAAAATGCTTCGCGTGTTCCGTGAGGAGATTCTGAGACGCAAGGACTGAATGTTTTCTCCGGAAATTCAAGCAGGTCCAGGGCAAAAGACAAAATAGCCCGTTCTCAGGTCTTTCCACACAGTAATCCCTGAGGATGCTAGAGGTGCCTGAGTTATGGAACTTGAGGGAGCACATGTCTCCCGGTGGCACATGTCTCTGGACTGTTGTCAGAAATGTCCCAAGATGAGAGCTCTTTATGACAAATGCTCCTTGTACCGTTCTCCTGGGAATGTGGTGCCTACAGGGATGGTGGTCACCACCTGATTTTGAAACACAAATATTTTGATTCTTTCAAACACCCATAGGAAGATGAGCAGGATGCTGACATACTGGACCCAGGCAAACTTTATCATCTCCCAGAATCCTGGTTGATAGGTGCAGGCAGTTAAGGAGTCACAAGAGGGTATTTTGAAAATAAATGTTAAACTGGGCTTTCCATGGGCAGGAAATGGCAAAAATGTTTCAAATACTCTTAAGAGAAAGGGATAACAAAAGATGACTAAGGCATACACAGGGAGGAATTGCTCCGGGAGAAGATATGAATAGGAAATGAAAAAAGGTCTGCCATCTGGACAGCGTGCAGACAGATACGAAGTCATTTGTGCGGTGATCCCGTATGATCCGGCCAAGGCCCCTGATGCGCAGCCACAACCCATGTGTCAGTAGAGCCTCTGCCATTTGCTATGATGCTGAACAGCTTGCAGCAAAGATTCCCCAGAGTGTGAGAAAAAACAGGCCTGCTGATCTGCTTCTAACAATCTCCCAATACAATATACCGCCAGGATTGCTCAGGACTGGGCACTACTTCTTTCTCTTGCCCGGGGCGACTCCAGGGCAGCTTACAACATTACACCCTGTAGCACTTTCTAATCTAAGGCTGACCAGCATCTGACCTACTCAGGGAATCGTTTTTTTATCTATTTTTGGTTGTTGGGGGCTGGGGGGAGGGTAAGGGCTAAGGGTGAGCTATTACAAGTTCATAGAAAGGATATGAAATGACTTCCACGGGGTATCGGATGACAGCATTGATCACAAACGGAGCTTCTGCGGCCCTTCCAACCAGCCAGATGGGGTTAGGGTCCATCAGGATAGTGGTGACTGCAATCAAATCATGAATCATTAATCCAAGGATGGATGGCTCCTTTGGTAAAACAGACTGAGCGGTGTCTTAATTATCTAGCTCTGCTGAAACGGACATACCCCAACGGGATGGTTTTAACAAATAGAAATTGCTTTTGTCACAGTTTAGGGGCCTTTACGTCCAAATTTCGGGCGGCAGCTCTAGCTGAAGGCTTTCTGTTTCCGCCTTTCTTTTGATTCTTGGAAACAGTGCAGACTGGTGTGCAAGTCTCTGTGTAGGTCTCTGCTTTCAAGTTTTTTGGGTGTTGTCATGGATTGAATTATACCCCAAAACTTAGGTGTCATCATTCCCAGTATTGTGTAAATGTTCCCCATTGTGTGATCTATTAATTCTCCTACAAATTGGAAATTGTAATCTCTGTCTGTGGGTAATGAGGCAGGATTAAAACAAAAACCAAAAAAAACCCCACTCACGGCCATCCAGTCGATTCTGCAGGACAGCGGTGAACTGGCCCTGAGGGTTTCTAAAGCTGTAAGTCTTTGCAGGACTGGAAAGCCTCATCTTTCTCCCTCAGAATGGCTGGTAGGTTCAAACTGTTGACCCTGCAGTTGGCAGCCCAACGTGTAGCCCACTAGACACCGGGGTGGGGCGGACTGGTGCCATCCAGTTGGTCCTGACTCAGCGCCACCCCGTGTACTACAGACACCGGCCAGCCTGTGCCGTCCTCAGCGGTTTCCAGGTCCGAGCCCACTGGTACAGCCACTGGGTCAGTCCATCTTGAGGGCCTTTCTCTTTTCCGCTGCCCTTCTACTTTACCAAGCGTGACGTCCTGCTCTAGGACTGTACTCTCCTGATAACGTGTTCAAAGGCAGTGAGACTAAGTCCCCCACCCTTGCCTGTAAGGAGCACTCTGGCTGTCCCCCTTCTTCAAGACAGATTTGTTTGTTCTTGTGACACTCCAAGACACTTTTGATATCCTTCACCAGCATAAATCCTCTTTAATATAAAGGGCAGGATTAAGTGATATTAAAAAGGATTTGGCTATCTGTTGTGTTAATAAGGGTGGGATTCAACATCCTTACTCATGCCACAACCAGTCCACCATGCAGGGCTTTAAACCAGTTTGTTCCACTCTACCCTCTGCTAAGAACTTGCCCGTCCATCCCAGATGAGTCTGAATCAGAATCGGTGTGTGAACAGGCCGCCCAGAAGAAGTCATCAGAACGCTGCCAACATAAGGGGAGTTTGTTTCCCTGGGGTGTTTCCTGCATCATTTTTTTTTTTTAATCTCACAGGTGATAGAGAGAAAGACAGCGAGGAGCTTCCTACCACCAAGAAAGAAGAGCCAGGAGGAGAGCTTGTCCTTCGGATCTGGGTTTCCTACGCACAGAAACTCCTCCACCCAGAGGACGATGGATGTCAAGGGCATCCCCCCAAAGCTCAGGGAAACCCAGCCCTGGAGCTGACATCCTCTGGATTTGGACACCTGGCCTCCTCAGCTGTGGATGGAAAATGTTGGTGAAAAGTCATCCACTTGTGGCACTTCTGTGATAGTAGGCCTAGATACCTAAGACTTAGTGGAATTGTCAGGTCATGTGATAGTTCTATTTTTAGTTTTTTTTCAGAGTCATCACACAGCTTTCCACAATGGCTGCACCAATTTGTATTCCCATGAGCAATGGATAATGGTTCCAATTCCCCGAGACCCTCACCAGCATTTGTTAGTCTGTTGTTTTGTTTTGTTTTGTCTGGGGGGGGTGTCTCAGCAGTTCTAGTGGGAATGGCTTTGATTTGCATCACTGTGATTTGGATTCACAGCTCTGAGGGATACTGACATTGATCATCTTTTCATAAGTTCGGGGTTAGCTGAAGGTCCTTGTTAGTGAAATGTCTGCTCAAGACCTTTGCCCATCGTATGAGTGAGTTATTTGCTTTCTTGCTGCTAGGTTGTTGATATTATATATATCACATATATATTTATATTATATATAATATGTTATATTATATATAATATATTATATTATAACATATCATATAATCATTATTTTTTTACAATTAAAAACCCAACTTCCTTTAAAATAAGAAAGCATGTGCAAAATTCCTCAGACATGATTAAAAGACTTATTTCAAAATATGTATGTCAAAAGTTGGAAATAGTCTATGCTTCCACAATTGCCGAATGGCTAAGTAAAAGAATACGATGCTGCCATTAAAAACAGCACCAAGTGAAACTCTGTGGCAGCGTGAGGAAATATTTATATTTCCAGGTGAAATAAAAACAAACCCAGTACGACATTCTAAAAGAAAGCTTTCTGACATCCTGTCACAAACAAAACAAGAATGCCACTAAACAATCAGTGGGTGCCAAGAGGTCAGGGAGAGGAGGTGGGGCTGGTGGAGCTTGGGCACTTTTATGCAATGAAATTCTGTGTGAGACAGTACGATGCACAAACGCACGTGCTATTGTTCATTTGTCAAACCCCGTAGGACTCTACGACACAAAGGATAAGACTTATGTAAACCTTGGACTTTGGTTAAGAATAATGCACTCGTTAATCGCTAAGCAGTTATGACACATGTACCGCAGCAATGTGAGATGTCAGTAAATAGGAAAAACAGTGTGTAGAGCAGGGGTCATAGGGTCCTCTGTACATGACAGTTCTGCCAATCTGAAACTTAAAAAACAAAACAAAACGTTTTAAAAAATCATCAATGTGGCTACTGGTTACAGGTTGGGCTGCTAACTGCCACGTCAGCAGTTCGAAACCACCAGTGGCTCTGTGGGAAGACAGGGCTTTCTACTCCTATGAACAGTCAGTCTTGAAAAGCAACAAAAGCAGTTCTACTCTGACGTGCAGGGTTGCTATGAGTTGCCATCAACTCAACGGCAGTGAGTAGATCCTGAAACGTCTCCATATTATGATTGATTTTGTGTGTGTGTGTGTGTGTGTACTGAACATGGACGAAGACTAGCAAGAGTTAAAAAAAAAGCTGATTGATTGTTCCTTCTCCTGTCACACTGTTAAATGTCTGTGTCACGTGACCATGAGGTCTGTTGCCAAGTAATGCTTGGGTACATTCAGAGAAAACCTTAGCCAATGTACTGAGCCGAGCACTGAAGTCTGTGGCAGGTTCTACCAGCCTCTCCTCTCTTGGGTATAAGCACAGGCTAGTGCAGCGGTTCTCAACCTGTGGGTCACGACCCTTTTGGGGATCGAATGACCCTTTCACAGGGGCCCCCCGATTCATAACAGTAGCAAAATTACAGTGATGAAGTAGCAACGAAAATAATGTTATGGTTGGGGGGTGACCACCACATGAGGCACTGTAGGAAAGGGTTGCGGCATTAGGAAGGTTGAGAGCCATGCTCTGGTGGCTTCGTGGGCTACAATCTGCATGACTGGCATTTCGAAACCACCAGCAGCTCCTAGGGAGAAACATGGGCTTTGTGTTCCCTTCTACTGCAGGACACAGCCTGGGACACCCACAAGGGATCACTGAGTCAGCAAGGACATGATGGCAGCGCGTCTGGTTTGGTTGCTCACTGCATTCTGCTCAGACTGCTTGTGTGGTACTTCAGTTGACCACATTCCTTCTTCCCTCTGAAATTAGGTGTGGCAATGTGCCTTTGTCCTTTTAAAGGATGGCTGAGGCTGTGAGGAACAACTCAAATCACTTCAGTGGTGGGATAAAACAGTAACGCATCTCTACGCACCTGTCCCATCCCAAGTGTAATCTCTGGGAGAGGAATGGAGAAATCCTAGGCACGCTGTTTGTGTCACCTGACGGAGCATTGATTGGTTTTGACATTTTCATCCAGGTAAGGATTTCCACCATTTCTCTCCATCACCCCTGTTAACTAACCTGGAAAGTCCTCTTGCATGGGTTGAATGACCACCACCGGTAACTCACCGTTCCTTTCCTGGTAGGCCGCAACAATGCGCGTGAGGTCGTAGTCAGAGGCAAAAGGGCTGGTTCCATTGATCACAGACACCTGGGATCACAGGAGGACGCGTGTCAGGCCGAGCTGTTGCACCACCACTATTTCTACCCACCCAGGCCTGTTCTAGAACCGATCACCTTCTTGGAAGATGATTCAGTTCTCTTCTGGAACAATTTTAAGAACATCTACTTTTACTCTACTTTTCTTAAGGATGGAAACGGCTGATAAGTACCTTTCACAGGTCTCAGAGTTGTTTATAAGATACCCCTCTCGATGTACACTGGTACAGATAGGAATTGAAAATACAGGGAATCCAGGGCGGATGAGCCCTACAGGACCAGTGGTGTGAGTGGCGATACCGGGAGGGTAGAGGGAGAGTGGGTTGGAAAGAGGGAACCGATTACAAGGAACTATATGTGACCTCCTCCCTGGGGGATGGACAACAGAAAAGTGGGTGAAGGGAGATGTCGGACAGGGCAAGGACAAAATAACAATTTATAAATTATCAAGGGCTCCTGAGGGAGCAGGGAGAGAGGGGAAAAATGAGGACCTAATGCCGGAGGCTTAAGTGGAGAGGGACTGTTTTGAGAATGATGAGGGCAATGAATGTACAAATGCACTTTACACAACTGATGTATGGATGGATTGTGAGAAGAGTTGTATGAGCCCCTAATAAAATTATTTTTAAAAAAGACCTTAAAAAAATAGAAACAAAAAATGTTATCACAGTGAGAAAAAAAAAAGATACCCCTCTCTATTCCAGTGAGAGTTAGTCTTTTTTATTTTTAAATAGGACCTATGTCCAAATCCTTTTTCTTATTCTCTGACTCTCCCTAGTTTAAAGTCTTTTAAATGTAGAGATTGAAATAGGATGAAATCAAAGTAGTAAGTATATTAATCCTTAAGGAAGGAAACCATTTCCTGTCTCCTTTTTTAATCATATTTCTACTGATATAATAATCCCATATATAATCATACGCCTGTGGCTATAATCCCATGTTGGAGGGCATTACCTGCGAAGGAACAGGAGCAGGATGAGATTGAGATCTGACCTTGGTAGAGGGTGTAAAGCTGTGGCACCCTGTTTAATGGTTATCTTGGTTACTGTGGATTGTTGTAATGGATGTAAGGATCTGCTACCGCTGGAAGGAAAAACCTGCTTCTGGAGTGGCCTAGGGAAAAGTTGGGCTGATTAAAATTAGTAGGAGACCAATGCCTAATGGAAACATCCTGCCAGAGGCCCCAGGTGGTAATGTGCATAAATAAGATATAGTCCAGGGGTGGAGAAGAGATCACTATATTTATATTTGGGTATAATTAAAAAGGCGAAGAGTTATCTGTTAATTGGATTGCATTACTGATACTCAACTTAACTCCCCCCAAACTCCCAACTCTTTCTCTGCAGGGCTCGGGTAAGAAGGTAGGGAGACACTGATAGGATTCGACTGTGAGTCACTGTGAACAGGAGTCCCTGCAGTGCCATCCTGCTGCACAGAAAATGAGCCCTCAGGCTCTTCCGGAGACGCTGTGTGCAGGCATTCAAAATGGTTCAGTGTCTGACCTACCGGCGCAGGCTGTCTTACAATACATCCTCTAACAAAACTAGGCTGTCCCGAACCCCTGGTAACAGAATTGTTTACTTATATACAAAAAAGGCTGGGAAAGCGCCAAAATCTGCATGTGGTGTGTGCCCAGGCCGACTTCGAGGGGTCCGTGCTGTGAGACCCAAAGTTCTCATGAGGTTGTCCAAAACCAAAAAACACGTCAGCAGGGCTTATGGTGGGTCCATGTGCGCTAAATGTGTCCGAGACAGGATCAAGAGTGCTTTCCTTATGGAGGAGCAGAAAATCGCTGTGAAAGTGTTGAAGGCACAAGCACAGAGTCAGAAAGCTAAATAAATAAAAGTGGAGCTTGTTTGAATAATAAATCAAATTATTTGTTCTCCTAAAAAAAAAAAAAAAAAAAAGAAAATGAGCCCTCTGAGAAGCAGGGGGTGTGATCTCATCACGGAAAAGAACCAGGAAGGAAGCATGTCCTTTGGACCCAGCATCTGGTTTACCCCTGCCTGACCTCCCAGTTTCGGACTGAACAGCACCCACCACCGCATGCGACATTTCCTCAAACTTTCGCGAGCTTCTATGGGACACTGCAGTGATGTGCAGAACACAGATACATGAGGGCATGCACTGAAGGGGGGTGGTGGTGGAGCCAAAAAGCATCATGGAAGAGTTGGACATTTAGAGCATCATTCAACCCCAACTCCTTGGGACTAATCTTGTATTTATCCCTTTAGAAGAGATTATTGCCACAGCAAAGGTGACTGTATAGATTTATCTAGAATAGTCCTGGTTTATGCCTCTAACAATTGTTAGTATCCCATTCTCAGCTTCTACAGGAGCCCGATCCTCTCGTAATCGGATCACGGTGAGAAACAAGTGATCGCATGCATGGCTTCCAGATCCAGGAAGACAGTTCCTGGTCCATTGCTTTCCAACTGTGGGACGTTGGGAAAACTAATGAATCCGCGTAAGCCCAGTCTCCTCAAGTGTAAAATGAGAGCTAATTCTTTCAACAAATATGTCCGAGTGCTTCCTTTTTTTAAAAAAAAATTAATTAATCCCACCACCCCCCAGTGTTTCTTACGTGCTGGGCACAAGAGACATCAGTGCTTTTAACCTTGAAGGGGACAGCAAACACCCAAAATTAAAACATCCCTTTGGTATGTCAGGTAGCAATAAGAAAAACAAAGTTTTGTGTGGGATGACAGGTAATGCAATCGCAGAAAGAAGGGTCAGGAGAGGACTGTGCAAAGTGGCATTGGACAGGGTCCTGGGTGAGTAGTAGGATGAGCCAGTGGGTACCCGGCCGAAGGCATGGCGCAGCTGCACGCTGGCTTCAGAGAACAGTAAAAAGGCTGGTGTGGCCGGGATGAGCGAGGGGGAAGGTGATAAGGCACGTGGCTGGAAAGCTAAGAAATGACAGCTGACGGCCTCGCAAAAGCTTGCCATGATGATACATGTACACCTCATATTGTGGGGTTGGCAAACATTACACCCCCAATAAACAGTGACTGACATGTTTAAAATGTTTACACGAATTAAAAAAGACCTCTTGGAATACACCCTGTGGGTGTAACTGAAAACAATAAATAATGGAGTTGTTTGATAAGGCAAAAACAGATTTTCACATGAAACAGTATCTATCTCCGTATCTCTAAAGACTTCATGGCAAGAAGTCTTGGGAAGTCGTCTTCTACACCACACGCAGGGGAAAAAACACCAGGTGATTTCCAACTTTCATTTCTCTGTCTTCAGAGAACTTGATACACATTATGGGAGAGAAACAAATAAGTCAGACAACAAGAAGCATCCTTACGTTGTACCGGACATCCAAGCCACTGTAGCTTAAGGGCTGCTTCTGCTGCAGCTTCAGGTCTCCGTTCACATACAACTGGGACCCTGGAAGGGCGAAGGAGGACTGCAGAAACGCCATGCTCTGCATCACGAACGTGGACATCCTCTGAAACCATCAGAAGCAGAGACGACTCCCATTGTGGTCACACTGGACGGGCTCTGGGCTCTACGATTCCCATTGTGGTCACACTGGAAGGGCTCTGGGCTCTACGAGTGGTGGGTTGGGAAGCACCCAGAACCCTGTGAAATGCAAATAAACCCACTGCCTTTGAGTTGATTCTGACTCATAGCAACCCTACTGAGGAGAACTGTGCCACAGGGTTCCAAAGTTATCGTCTTCACAGCTGTAGACCGATACATCTTTGTCAGGAGAGCTGTTGGGGAGTTCCAAAGGCCAACCTTTTGGTCCGCAGCTGAGCATTTTAACCACTGCCCCACTGGGGTTCATATTAATTAATATGGCACCGATGAGAAACATGCAATTTGCATAAGTTAAATCTCAAACTGCACGCAGAAAGAGTATACACAGAAGTCAGAAAGAGGGCCCTGTTCTATTAAAGGCCAGGCGGGGGACGTGGGGGAGGGCAGCCCTCCCTGACCGCAACTCACGTGCAACTGGTAGGAGAAAGTCAAGATAAGCTGCACACCCAGGACGTGCTCAGAGGACTGCAGGGGAAGCTCCAGTTTCAAATGCAACGCATCCATCTTTCCATCCTGGTTCTTGTCTTCTTCTCTGCTCTAGGAAACCCAAAAAGGCCAGTAACCTCAGTCTTTAAGAAGTTCTGGAAGAATCCACAAGACCATAATATAATGATCCATTGTCCTTCTATACGCAAGCTTTGTCTCCCTCACAAATAATAATAAACAGTTTACCCATATGAATCCATATGGGTAAAAAGACACACAATGTGCATGGCCCTTGAACGTCGTACGTGTCTAGTTTGGCTCTTGACCTTGGAGAAGCACAAGAACTTTAAATGGCAGGAAGAGCAGCAACAGGCACCCCTTTCAGTCGGGGTGCTTTCTCTTTCTTTTGGAAACCGTGCTTGAGTTTGTAAGGACATTTAAAGAGGGCACCACAGGTATCTATTTCTTGAGAATTCAACTGCTCGAAAGAGAAAAAAAAATCTTGTGAAATGCTCTACCCTAATCATTATACATTATCTAAACAAAAGAGAAAAAAGCCAAGCTCTATTTATACATTTCTTAACCACAAGCGTCTGCTCTCAGTTCTTGACGTTGAACCGCAACTGCTCATTGATGTCAGGTCTTTGAAGCTGAGTGCACCTTTTAGTGTCAATCAATAAGAAGAAAAGGGAAGCTAAGTAAATCAACAAGCCATCAAAGTAACATAGATACTGTATAACTTATGGGGGGGAAACAGGCAGGAATCTTAGAAGGTCAAGAGATAGATTTTATCTCATCAATCATGATGTTGGGAGTCCCCAAGTCAATTCTGACTCAGAGCCCCCCTATAGGGTAGAGAACTGCCTCACAAGGATTTCCAAGGTTGCAAATCTTCATGGAAGCAGACTGCCAGATTCTTCTCCTATTCAGTGGCTAGTGGGTTTGAACTCCTAACCTTTTGGTTAGCAGCCAAGTGCTTACCCACTACACGTTTTTTGTTTTATTTTGTTTGTAAAAGGTAACCAGCTCCACTAGCCATAGTCTTGCTTCATTGTGATCCTAAACTTACTAGCAGGAAAGCTGATACTGAAATAACATCCACCACTGCTGTGACTCCTTGGCACAACTCTGGATCTGGTTGTCACAACTAATCTGTTCTCACTGAGAGTTGCCAGAAAGATTTTTCTACAGAATATCAACACTTCCATCTGAATCCTCCATCTACTGATACATTTTGCTTTCGTCATTTCCACGACATGAGAATGAGACTCTTTGTTCTTGTATAGGCTGATATGCTTGGTTGTCTTAATTTAGACGTTTCAGTGAAACCTCTCCTCCATGGGTGCCCCAACTGGTAACGAGAACACTGGTGGCCTAGCTCCCTGTATCACGGCACCACACCCCACCATAGTACAAAAACAGACAGACAAATGGCGACCAGGAAGAACGGCCTGGAAATCTACTCCTGAAAAAATGTCGCCAGTGAAAACCTTACGAATAGTAGCGGAATCCTGCCAGATATGGTGTTGGGAGATGAGCCTCTTAGATTGGAAGGCACTATAAGCACAACTAAGAGCAACCCCTCAAAGTAGAGCAGAGTTTCATGGTATGGATGAGGTAGAGCTTCTGGCTGTTCATTTGCTGGTGGGGCGGAACTCAAAATGGGAAAACCGCAAACATCATTCATCATCACAAAGCAGAATGTACAAAGCAGGAATCTCGGGAAATTACAAGTTGACAAAAAAAGTAAGTGGATCTCAAAAGATTGATATCCAAGACAATAGTGACATGAACTAGTGCTGCCCACTACGAATTGGACAATCTGTTTCTATGATCCCAGAATGACAAATGGAAGGAAAGAGGCATTGCAGTCACTGTCAAAAAGAACATGTTAAAATCTATCCTGAAGAACCATGCTATCGTTTGATAAGCTAATATGCATGCACATACAAGGAAGACCAGTTGATAAGACTCTTGTTCAACTTTACACGCCAAGTACTAATGCCAAAGATGAGGTTTTTTTAAACCAGCTTTTGCAGTCTGAAATCGACGGCATGTTTATGCAATCCATGTGCACTGATAATTATTGGTCACTGAATCTGAAGGCTGGAAACAAGGAAGGATCAGTAGAAAAAGAAGGCCTTGGTGAAAGAAAGGTCTCTAGATATTGCATGATAGGATCTTGTAGGGCCAATGTAGTCAATGCAAATTAACTTTTTTTTTCAATAACATAAACCGTGACCACACACATGAGGGTAGCTGGAGAGAGTACACAGGAATCAAATCCACTAGAACTGTGGAAAAAGACAATGCAGAAGCTCAGCATCATCAGTCAGAACAAGGTCAGGGGCTGACTTACATGCAAGTGCAAAAGTTAAAGAAAATTGTAAGTCCACAAGAGTCAATGTACACCCTTGAATATATCTCATGGGAATTTGGAGACCCTCCGAATGATAGATTTGATACACTGGACACTAATGACCAAAGACCAGACCAGCTGTGGGATGACATCACACATGAAGAAGCAAAAGGTCACATAAAAGATAAGGCAGACAGACATGACCGACTAGATACAAGAGGCGGCTCTGATGCTTGCTCCTGAAAACACAGTAGCTAAAGGAATGGAAGTGATGAAGTAAACAAGTCATACAGATTATTTCAAGGTGACCAATGGGCACCCTGGGGAGGCTGAGTGAGGCAGCCTACATTGAATTGACCAGATGAAGAGATTCTTTTTTTTTTTTTTTCGGAAGAGATTCTTGAGCCTGTGAACTGGTGCATATTGTTGACTTTAAGGATGGCCTGTTCGGATTTGACTTTACTTATGGATGCAGACTTCGCAAGGTTCCAACTGGAATGAAGATTCTTCATGTCAAAAAATATGGTTGTCTCCTCAGAGCACTGGGTTGATGTCAGTGGGCAGTATATCAATTGGATACCCAAAATTGGGGGATAGAGGCATGAAGTGGTTGACTTACAAACTTTCATAGGTAGGGGAACATATTCACAGGATTATAGGATTAAGGTGTAGGTGTTCCTTAATTGCAATTGTGAAGGCTAAAGAATTATGTACAGGTACCATGTTGGCAAGGGGTGGATTGAGATAAAGTTTATTGTGCCAACCTGGCCGATAAAACACATGTGGGGTTAATTGAAGGGTGGAGAGAAAAATGGCTCAGTGAGCCTTGCCTTTCTAGTTCTCCCAGAAGGGTGGAGGGAAGGTGGGGTAGAAAGGTGGAACCAATCACAAGGATCTACATCTAATCCCCTCCCTGGGGGATGGACAACAGAAAAATTGATGAAGGGAGACATCGGGCAGTGTAAGACATGACAAAATAATAATTTATAAATGATCAAGGATTCGTGAGGGAGGGGGGGAAGCAAGAAGGGAGGGGGGAAAATGAGGAGCTGACACCAAGGGCTCAAGTAGAAAGAAAATGTTTTGAAAATGATGGCAATAAATGTACAAATGTGCTTGACACAATGGATGTATGGATTGTGGTAAGAGTTGTACAAGCCCCCAATAAAATGATTTTAAATAAATAAATAACAACACAACTGAGACCATAACTGGATGGTCCCCAGGTACCAGTACTGAGCATTTTGATTAAAAAAAAAAAAAAAAAAATCTACAGAATGCTGACCAAAAGGGAGGAAATTCAGAACAAAATTTCAAATTCTCATGGTTTCCAGACCTTCTGGGGCCACGGGGGCTGGATAAACCCTGAAGCTCAAACGACTGCCCTCAGATCATATTTAAACCTTAAACCAACACTATCTCCTGAATTCTTCTTAAAACCAAACAATAGTCCAACTTAACTACCTGAGCACTATCCGAGGGACTATCTGTATAGACTCACGATGACAATACAGCTCCAGAGACAGGCAGGAGCCTTTGGGGACAAGGCGTTTATGCTGGTGGAGGAGCATGACAGACGAGGAGGGTGAGAATGGCTACACAGCTCAGAGCATGTAGCTAACATCGCTGAAGTGTGTGAAGTAGAAATGGTTTCCCTGGTCCATGTTTTGCTAAGTATACTCTTAACACAAAATATATTATAAATAACAAAAGTTACAGTTGTAAGATATTAACAACGAAAGAATTCTAGGGATGCCAGCCAAGGTGAGCTGACCAAAGCAGAGCAAGGTCATTTCCCACTTCAGAGGCCTTTTCTCAAATTAGCAACTGCAAAGCCACCTCCTAACCTTGATCTAAAATCACTGTCCGCAAGCAAGGTTGTGTGATCTGCACAGTGCAGGCTGTTAACGAGTCTTCTTCCAATCCTGATACTGTGTTCTCTCCACATAGCCCAGTTTCTTGGATCATTTGCTTAGCATACAGATTTTATAAACCTGGTGAAAGGACACAACCCTGGGACACAGCTCCTGATTTAAAAGTTCTCAGTATCATTTGTTCAGTTTGAACAACTACCTCTTCTTGGTCTAAGTACAAGATCCACCTGACCACAAGAAAATGTTCTGGAATCTCCATTCGTCACAATAATATCTATACATTTGTTTTATAATCCACACAGTTAAATGCCTTTGCACAATGAATAACATAGGTAAACATATTTCTGGTATTATTTGCAGCTAACATCCCTCTGATACCAACAATATTATGCATAGTTCCATGTTCTTCTTGAGTCTGGCTTAAATTTCTGGCAATTTCATGTAGATGTACTGCTGCAACTATTTTTGAACTACTTTCAGAATTTTACTAATGTGTGCTATTGATATTATCCCATAATTCTGCATGCTGTTGGATCACTTTTCTCATCTCAATAAGCCCTAACTCTAACTCACTTGCTGATAAACTTTTTCTTAGAAACCGAGGAGGAACGGAAACAGGAAAACAAGAGGAGGTGGGATCAGGGATGGCACATTGTGGGGATTAAAATAAAATGTCAATTGTTGAACGTGAAACTCACAGTCTGCTCTATAAACCTTCACCTAATTCACAATGATTAAATCTTTTTTGTTTCTTTTTGTTAGAGGTGTAAATAACATGCAGGCTAAAGACATAATATATAAGAAGAGGCTTCAAAAGGTTCACGGAAAAATTCTATTAGTGTTTGATTCCACTTGTCCCCAAGCTTTTTCAAGGCCCT